GGGTCAAAGTCACCTCTCATCAACACCAGCCTGCCTAGGAGGGAGAGCAGGAAGAGACCCGTTCCCAGTCATCAAGAATGATGTCAAAACCCTCAACCTAGCAAGATGGATTTCAGACCCTGAAAAAGGGAAGTGGGGAGAAGGAGGGGCTGACTACTTGGATCCAGATACACATCTTCCTGAAGAGAAACTTTCCTCCAATGTGTGCAGCTTAGCTCAGCAAAGCACAGGATGAAATCCCTTCTGGTGGGCCGGCTCCGGATGCCCACGTGGCCCAGAGCAATGAAAAGGCTCCAGAGAAGGACTGTTTGCAGGGACCACCCCAGAGACCCCACTCTAGCCCAGCTCAGTCTCCGGGATTCAACACAGGTGCTTTTTGAGCAAATGCCCTGACCTGGGCAATGAGCTAGCCAGTGTGTGGTTTAGATGGACATGGTCCCTGGAGGGCAAGATCGACAAGGTCCCTGCTCTCACAGACGAAGACTCTACTAAAAAAGCCAAACGATGGAACCACGGTGTCCCCAGTGCCCTGTGATCACAGGGTGCAGCAGGAGCCCAAGAGGAGGAGCCCATCCCCTCGAGAAGATGCTGGACACACAGAGCAAGTTTAAAATTTTAGAGCTAGAAGATACTAGATGGCAGTGGTTCCTAAACTAAGGTCACCAAGAGAAGCTTGTTTTTAATAAAATGTAGGTTCTTGGGGTGGGGGGTGCATGGGGGGCACAGTCAGTTAAGTGGCCCGCTCTTGGTTTCAGCTCAGGTCATGATCCCAGGGTCCTGGGATCGAGCCCCACATCGGGCTCCCTGCTCAGTGGGGAGTCTGCTTCTCCCACTCCGTGATATCTCTCGCTTTCACTCTCTCCAAAAAAAAAAAAAAAAAAAATGCAGGTTCTTGACCCAGTTTCTGATTCAGTGGGTCAGAGGCAGCAGAAGGGCATTAGGATCCTTGCAGAACCTCCGGTGACCTGCCGGGTTTAACAGCCGCTATTCTGGGGCAGGGCTGGGAATACCCAGAGGTACCCAGTTAAATACAGCAAGCACAAAGGAGGAGTGAAATGGGCCTCTGGGAGGGAGTCTAGGATTTGCTTTGGCCAGAGATGCTGGGGTGACTTCCCCCCGAGAAGCACAGGTGCTGTCGGCAAGCAGCTCCTTCCAGCAACACGGCTGCTGAGCAGCAACAGGTGCGGAGAGCCACGGGACTGTGAAAAGCCTCCATCTGTTAGAGGGGCCTGGCCCGGTGGGGAGACCACAAGGTGGCCGGCTCGGACGTGGGCAGAGGCAACACCCCACGTGTAGAAAGGAACCCAGAGAAAGATCAATGGAGGGAGAACAACAAGGGAAGAAGAAAGGAGTCCTTCCCCGCTGTGTCCATTTCCTCGGGCCACCAGCCGGGCAATGTGTCATCTCACAGTTCTGGAGGCAAGAAGTCCAAAATCAAGACTGTCAGCAGGGCCGCCCTCCATCTGCAATCTGTAGGGGAGAGTACCTTTCTTTGCCTCTCCTGGCTGCTGGTGACGGCTGGTCCGTGCGCTCCCTGGCTGGTAGCCACATCTGTGCGGTCTCCCCCGCCCCGTCGGCACACCGCGCTCGCCTTCACGGGTCTGTGTCTGCCTCTTCTTAGGAGGACACAAGCCATACTGGCTTCAGGCCCACTGCACTCCACTAGGACCTCATCTTAACTCAATCACCAACAATAACCCTATGTCCAAATAAGGTCGCATTCTGAAGTACGAGGGTGAGGACATGGACATACCCATTGGGGAAGCACGGTTTCCACCCAGAACACCCATGAAGTCCTCAAAGCCTTCCAGTCTCAGCAAGTGCCGGGAGGCTGGATGCCTTCCATCCATCCAACTCTGACACCCACCTGGGAGGATCACTCCTCAAGACCAGGATCCTTCCTTGGAAAATGTTGAGAAACAACAAGGAACGCACCATGTGTCATGCGAGGGGGGGGGAAAGAAAAACACTTGAGATTTGACCTTGGAAAACACTCTCCACCAAGCTGTTCCTTGAACAGGTCCCTGAAATTATGCCTTTCGACTCTAATTTCCATGCTTTTCTTCCACCCATCTTCCCCATCAAGATGTTATCCCGAAGAGGCAGGGAAATTACAGTGTTTATGACAGTGCCAAAAATAACTGAGCATTCCATGAAACTATCAGCTCCAATGCAATAGTGATTTTTTAAAAACCAGGAGATCAAGTTTGTTTCTCAGAAGATGATGCTCCGTGTTCCTAATAGACAGAGGTTTTCAAGGTGTGGCACGCTTTACATCAGTAGGCCCTGGGCATGGTGCCAGCCTGGGTTGGCCGAACCTGGAGGGGGGCAGATCTCGATGGCTTGAAGTGTCACCAAGCCTCCCCCTACGTGGTGGCCTGTGGATTTCAGAGAAGCAGATGAAGACTATGAACTAGAAGAGAAATCCAGGGTAACCAGGATCTTCAGTAGTTATCACATCAAGGGGCAACAGCTTACCCTGGGAAGAATACACCTGTGCGTGCGGCATCGAAATTTCAAAAGTAAACTTTATCTCCCAACGAAGAGAGAACCCTCACCGCCCACTGAGCTCAGGTGCCTAGAGGAGACGTTTGCTAAGAATCATGGCCACGCCAGGGAAAACAGAGAGCTCCCTCACCTGGAAAACACACTCCAAGGAACCCTAGACTGTTCTCCCTTCCTCTCGTGACCAAAGGTAGCTCTACTTCCCACGTTCTCCGCCTGCTTGTGAAGGAAGGCAAATTCAGCTGCCCCCTCGCCACCCCACGCTGCTCCCCAGCAAGAGGAAAAGACTGGGGAGATGTTCACAATTCCTGGGAAGTCACAGAACCTCGACGGGAATTCACAACAGTTGGTAACTGACATTTCCCCCCAGGAAACCAGGCAACGGGCCCCAGAAGCCCCACCGCTGCCAAGCCTTGAGGAGTTTCTGTCTCTCACCCATCCATGACCCTATCTTGTTTTGTTTTTAACATTCAAATACAGGAACTTAAGGTCTCAGAATTCACCCCGCCGCTAGGCCCCCCAAGAAGAAAATGCTGATGGCCATCATTATGGAATCATTTCAAATGAGAAACAGACTAATCCGTCCCTTTGCTAACCCACAACTGAAACCGTGGGCACATGCAAAAGACAACCGTGAACTGCCATTGAAAACACCCACTCCTGATCTTCCACAGAACTTCTAAACGTGCCGTCTGCAAGGCAGGAAGGCATTAAGGTGCCAGGTACCTGGACGGGCAGGTCTTGGCAACAGAAGCACAGCCCTGCCGAGGAGTCTCTGCTATAAGGAATCTCTCATACGTGGAGCGCTAGGCAAGAGCGTGCCTTCGGACAGTGACGGCTTTTCCTGCAGGACAACCAGGAAGCAGCATCTTCATTTCTTCTCCCAGAGGGCAGACTTCACGGCATCATGTGCCTTCATAAAAGCGAGCTCAATTTGTCAGCCAGTGGGCCAACTATAGGGCGAAGGGAAAAGAAGTGTGATCCTCACCATCGTGGGGCTGGAAATAAAACCACCCTGGCCCATGAGAAGCTACAGCAGGGCACCCTTCTCCCACAAACAGGGGCTTGAGGGAAAAGCCGAGGCAACCATAGTTTTTGTAGAGACCTGTTGAGGGGACTTGGCTGTTTCGCCTATCAGCTCAGAGGTGTTGGGAAGAAAAACCTATTATTGTGCCCTGGACCCAGGGGACCCATCCGCCATCCATGGGCTTCAGTGGGAACGAGGATAAAGGACAATTGAGCAGTGAGCCAGGCACAAGCCCTGCTTATGACTCACTTCAATCCTTGGTTGACTTTGGGGCATTTCCAGAACATTGTCTGCATTGCAATTGGGCACAGCTCCTAAAAGCCAGACTCTAGTCCAAAAGCAGGTTAAGATGCTGATAAGAAAACAGTCCTTTTTCCTTCAGCCCTTTCCCCCATAACTTCCTTTAAACACCCAATGTCTCACATCTTGATTGAGAAATAACCGCCAACCTAAGACCTCTTTTCACTCCTCTAAAGCAAAGCAATTGTGAACTTGACATATCAACCAGATAAATCCAACTTAATAGGAACATTCACTGGCCAAGGACAAGCTGCCAAGAGCAAAGTATTAGGTTGGCAGAGTTTAAATTACTTCACATCCAATGCCAACACAAAGTCAGGAATTGCTGAGCTTTTGGTAGAGTTATAAATCAAGGATTATGAGGCTGGAGTTGAAGAAATGGCCTTATCCAATGTGGAAAATCCTTTTGCTCCCACTTCCCTTTGAAGCCCTGCCTCTCGTGCCAAACTATAAACATATCACTTCCTGGAGGGTACGCCAGGACACTTCAACTTGGAATCAAGGGCCCGGGAAGTACATTCGAGATCCTCACAAACATCCAGCAAGTCCACTATCTCTGCCAGACTCTTCTGCTCCCCAAGCAGCCCGCAGAGACCCAACGGCCCACTTACCAGGCAAGCGAAATGGTTAGGGTGCCTTGGACAGATGTGCACTGCTGTGTGTCCAAAGATGGGAGAATTTCACTGATTTGAAAACACCAACGAAAGCCTACACTTCCCGCTATTTGCACTTGGTTGAATGCAAAAATCCTCCTGAGGAATGTCTGCCCAAGGATTACCTACAGTCATTTCGTTTCCATTCTCAAAATTTGGAGGCGGCAACCTGACCCTACCTGACCCTAGCTGTTTCTCAAAAGGTGATTAAACTTTAGGCAAGAGACGTTATTCCAACACTGTGGACTCTCTCCCTTCGGAAGAAAGGGTCCCGCACGCTTCCAGACAGCCCTAGCGGCGGGAGAGGGGTACTACACACAGCAGAGGGCCACCACCGAGGAGCGCAAGGCCCTCCTGCAGCGGAGATGGGACAGCAAATGAAACTTCAGACCTCCCTTGGCACACAACCTTCCTGCTCAGTGCCATTAACAAAGCCACAGCCGAACCATAAATTAAGCTCTGCCACTACTCCACTCATCCCAGAGACTTAGAAAAAACCACGTTGTAACCCGACGTTCACGGCTTCTATGGAGAATACTTTTTATTATACAGGTATTGTTATACACAACAATTACTCGGGGAACGTTTACAGCCATTTCCAAAAACCTCCATTTCACCCCCACGCACGGTACCACACACCCATCTTCCGGTCCGGCATGATGGGAATGAGACACAAAGTTACTGCTTTGTGAACAGAGAGTTTCAATTAAATAGAATCTTCCGCATCAAGAACAGAGCACAGAGCCCAGGATCCTCTTAATTCTTAATACCCTGCGTACATACGAATAAAACCTAAGAGAAGTGTTTTAGATTACCCCATCACCTTTAGAAGTTAATATTAAAATCGAATCCCATTTGTCAAAAGTCTTAAGAAGTGCACCCGTATTTACAGACCCCATTAAATTATGCATAAATAAAATCTGTACACTCAACGCACTGTTTCTCAACATACAGAGCCTCCTACGGGACTTGGGGCGGGCAGCAGAAACAAAAACAAAGAAACAAAAAAAACGCTTCATGCCTACCCCTTTCAAGTTTACTCGAAACACCAAGATGTGAAATAAATATGCAAATAAAGCTTCAGTACCTTAAAGGAACATGACATTTCAGAGTCTCTCATTTGAAGAGTTAACTCTCCGAATTTAAAAAAAAAAAAGACAAAAAGAAAACACAAGATCATCAGCAGGCTTCATTTCTACAAGTTTCGTAAAACCCAAAGGCCCCCTTTCAACGAGGGGTTTAAGAGTGTCAAATACCACCTATTAAACTAGCTGCTAAGCAGAGAGAATCTTTGCTTCCTACGATCTGTAGGATTTGATACCTGAAGAAGCCAGATAAATACTTTTAGATAAATATTGAGTGGACACAAAAAGCCAGCCATTACCTTAACACTGCAAGTTACTGTCGATCTGAATCGCACCAATCTGACATTTCAACAGCTACCGGTGTGGGTTTTCTCGTGAGCCCCGGGAATTTATTTAAAAGGTTCTAAAACTTGTAGCACCACTTTCAGAGAAAAGAATGGGGTTCAAAAGAATGAAATGAGCTTAATGAACAAAGAACCAGCACTTGTCACCTTCCGATCCCTTGTCCAGAGTTAAGGAGACACACTTCAGCGCTAGAGAAAAGAACACTAAGGAATCCGGGAGGGCACGTCAAGATCCAGAAAATGAGTGGAGGCCTTTTTCATGGGAAGGTGGGTCACAAACCGTCCCCCGGCAAGAGGGGTCTCCCAGCCTGTCCAGGTCGAGAATGATCGTGGAGTCCTTTTCCTTCGAGACTCTTCAGCCCTTGGCTCACTCCCATCCTTCATTTTCTGTGCTTCTCCATTTTCTCCAGGGTTTTGCTAGAATCGGCTGGACTCTGGTCTCCGGGGTTCATATAGGATTTGTCTATTACTATCAGGGCCTCTTTGATGTAGTTCTGCAAGGCAGACGCAGCCGCACAGATGGCCTGGCTGCCGAACCCGTGGGTGATCAGGCTGAAATGAGACAAGCAGTTCTGTATGTTCGTCTCCAAGACCGGGGTGGGCCGGTTGTTGCCGTTGGGGGTTCGGTCTTGATTGAGGAGGTCTGTGAATTCTTTACACACCTGCCTGGGAGGACAGTCAACACACACCTGTGAGCTCCATCTAGCTCGCGACAGGGCAAGAGGACAAAGCCAAATCACCCCAGGGAGGACACCCAGGAGGCCACCAGAGCTTTCAAAAAGAAATAGACTTTGCCACAAATAGTCAACTGCTTCACACTTAGCACCTATTACGCGCCAGGCCCTGAGCTCAACTCTTTGCAAGCACTCCCTTCTTTAATCCTCACGAGCAATTAGAAAAGATAACGGGATTAACCCCAGTCAAAGGGCCAAGGTCACCAGGACTAGTGTAGGAGGTGGGGTCAGGATTCCAGCCCAGGAGGGTACTTAACAATGGATAGACATTTATTTGGTACAGCTCGGTACCCAGACACCAATTTCTTCTTCAAGAACCCCAAGAATCCACATCTCCCCCAAAACTCACTGTTTATACAGGCTAGGTCCCTCTGCTTCCTTTTGCCCCGTTTCCCGACTGGACGACTTCCGCCTCGTTTACCATAATTTTAAAAACTAATTTACTGTTGGCTTCCACGAGAAATCCTGCAGCTGCATTAAGCAGGGCTTGAGACACTTAGCCTGCCCACGTGTCTCCTACAAATCCAACCCAATCGTTACATTTAAAAAACCAAAAATGTCTTTTCAGGAGGCAGAAGGATGTCTTTTCAGGAGGCAGAAGGCACCCACAATCTTGACTGGATGTGACCAAAGTGTTTCCAACACATTTTTGTAAGATATGGAGACACAATAATGAAAGGGTAGTTGAACTATTCTGAGCTGCCTAACTGAGCAGCTCCAAAAAACACTCACTACTGAGCAATACATTCATTTTACTTCTTCTTCTAAGTCCTACCCAAGAGTCCATCTATCTGCCTTGTCAAAGAACGTCCCCTGGCCAGCTCCTTTTGCTCCACACCTTTGTTTACCGAGCCTTTCTTTCTTGAGCACCTGGGACTGTTACTGGGCACCCCTCCACCCCCCAAGTTCAAGATCAGTAGTAACACCCAGCCACCAAATTCAAGTCTGGATACTCACTGGGCAGCCAGCAGCATGTTCTTCCTAGCTGTCATCTCATTCCGCCCTCCAAGATGAGGTCTCGTTAGATATTCCGCCACCGGTTTACTAGGAAATTCTGCTTCACAGACATAGGCAAAGTCCCGAGCCAAATGAACAGCCTCACCTAAAATAATCAGCAGTGACAAGAGACTTAGAAGGCCCGCAGTCACTTCCCGCAAACCTCCCTCTCCTCTTTTTCTAACCCTTTTTCTAGGCCCGCAGTCACTTGGCACTTTAAAATGAAATCACCCACAAGGAAAACAATTCAGCGGGCAAGTGGCACTTCCTGGGTACTTTCGGTGGGCTCGCTCCCCTGGGACTAGAGCAGGAAAACACACGGCGTGTGGAAAAACTGACTGACATTCTGGAATAACGCGAACCCGTCTTGGACCCCGACTTAAGATTCTCTGAGACACATCCATGCTTTCTCTTGATAAAAAAAGTTATCACTGTGGAGAAGTAGGGAAATTTAAAGATGAGCACGTTGCACTAAAGTCAACTGGTCACTTCTCTTTATGAAACCGTGACCAAGTCTTTCACGGAGAACCTTCTTTTTAAACCAGGGGTGCCCCATTACGGAAGGAGGCAGGGCTCAGGGATGTTTCTTTTCACAAAGAAAGGCAGGGCTGGGTTTCCACTGGAAATGTTAATGTGAAGAGCCCAACTACCAGCCTGGACTACCCACGCTCTTTTGTCCAAATCACTCGGGGATCAGAGGGAGAGAAAACCAACGGGACTCATTTCTGACCAGAGATACCCGGGCCTGGCTCCACGGTGTCAAGGCTGGCCAGAGCTTTCCAGAAACCCAGAGAGTGGCACCCCACCCCCACCCCGTCTCCTCCACTTGCCTCCCCAGACTTACTAAATCAGAATCTGAGAACCATTGTTCTGGCACACACTTTCTTATTCAAGCACCTCAGCCTGGCTAGTAAGAAAACCTCGAGGAGCCACATTTATGCGCCATGCACGCAGAACCCACCATTCTCCATGCAGGACAGCTGTGCTCCAACAGGCAGCTAACTAACAGGCAGCTCCTTTCTCCTTGCCCTGACCTCCAAAGACACTCGTAAAAAGGTAGAGCCGGGCTCTGCCAAGTCCCTTTCAGCGTACAGGAGCGCCATTAGACCAGGGACAGAAAGTGTTCAAAAGACTGCCTGGTCACCAGGCGACCACCCCTCATTGGCTCCCCCAGCCCTGAGCGGAGCCCAGCGCCCTGCTGATTGGGCGAGGGGGCTGCTCCGGCCTTCAGGATCAGCCCCTCCGCGCTCCACTCCATTTTCCCGTACACAGCAACAATGAGCTGGTTTTTGAAAAAAAATTATTTCACTTTTCCCTTAACCGCCACCCCCCCCCCCGCCCAGCCCCCACTTATTTTTAAAGGCTGTAATTGCATTCTTGGCTCCCTTCCAGATTGGGGGTACAGGCCCATTCAATACACTAAAATGTTACATCCTACGATTTTAGGACTGGGGAGAGGGGCCCCACTAATTTTTTTCTTCTTGCGGGAAATGAACAAAGGGCTTGTGAATTGGGTTAATCCCACCGTCTACAAGGGCTTTTCTCTTCACTGACCACAATCCTGATATTACACAGCTACCCAAGCTGGAATCGGTGCTTCTTCCCACCCAATACCACAACCAGCTTTTTAAAAGTGTGCCAGGTGATCGATGCCATCTTCCAAAAACTGGTTCACTTGGAGGAAATGTCCCAACACCCTAACGGTGAGAGTTCTTAGGTCAGGGAAACCAATTTCTTTTACACAGTGATTTTTCTGGAGAACCCAGAACAGGATACGTAAGCAGTCAGGGATTTAAATGTTAACACATTTGATAAAATACTGTGATTCACTGCAATGAACTCATGACAACTCATCTTCATCTCTTTGTGACAGAGCCGTTTTTAGGCTTTCCTTCAGGGATTAAAGACACAGATGACAGACGACACAGCGCAAACTAAAAACACCATAAAACAAAAACAAAACTCCACTGACCTTCTACTAAGGACGTCAGGAGAGTGACGTGCGCAGCTTTCCGTCTCCCGGCTGGCAGATTCAACCCGATCTTGTCCAACTTCTCCCGCAAGGACCGGCCTCCATTTTTAGATTTGGCTCTGGGCACAAGAAAGTGAACTGTAGCTATTCTCAAAACACCACACTTTAAAATTCTAAATTCCTACACTGCTGCGATCAAAACGGAAATCTGTCAGAGTATCTACATTATGTGGATCATAATCAAGTGATACAGTGTAATTAATGCTCTTTCTTACCATCACCAACATTTTTTTTTCCAATCACAGAACATTGCAAATTGTGCTGGAGTGGATAAAATTACACGTATAAAAACTGTAGCAGCCCCCCAAGCCCTCTGGGGCAACAAAACCCATGGAGCATCCCCCCCCCCGACAGGATGCCACCACTTCATACATGGAATCAAATCCTAACCAAATGACAGTTTGTGAGCGCTGTTTTAGCACTTCCTTCTACATCTGGCACTTTCTAAAAGAGAAGGGAATGTACTAAAACTCTAAGCCGATTAGAATTCAGTGTTAAGTATAAAAGTTACATAAATGTTAAAAATACCTCCTTGGTTCTTTTATGTTATTCACCTTCCAACCACCCAACCACCAACCACCGTGGCCGTGTGTCCCCATGTACCTTCTGAGAACACCTCCCAGTAATGAGGCATTTAAGCATTCAGGCGGGGACAATCGCCTCTGGACTTCAGCAACCGTCACTTTGTATTTAGAGGTGGAGCTGAGGAGGGACAATCTTCCAGGGACTGAGCAGAACACCTCGCTGGGATTCATCACAGCCCCCACCAGCTCCTTCTGACAAGGGAGACTCAGGGGGTTCTTGGTCATTGAAATAGGACCTGTGAATGAAGATCACAAGTGACAGTCCCGAGGGCTGCACTTAGGAAAAAGGGACCTTTTCAAACCACTCACCAAAGCCAAAAGAGCTCTGTAAGCAAACAACGCTGCATGTTAAGACTATGTAAATTGCAAGCAGATTTTTTTTTAAGTCATATTCTTCAAAGATAATGGAATCTGAAATTCACAAGTTAACACCTTAACAAAGCTAATTAGTCACGACCCCGAGCATGGAGGGTTTTCATTTTCGAGCCACTGTTAAAATCTGTTTAATTAGAACATTTGTTTTCAAAAGACTACTTCAGTCCTAAATAAATGGCTATTTCTTTTTTTCTTCCTCACTCGACAAACAACCAAAATCACCGGACACATTTAGATCCTTTGCTGACAACTTTCAGTGTAACTGATCACGGTAAATTTAAAAATATAAACAAACCCGTTCTGTTACAAGTTTCCTGGGAAATCCAATTTATTTTCTGAGTTTTTCTTCAAAAACCATTTCCCAACTGATTTCGAGCAGTTTAACTTCCAGTAGCTGAGAGTAACTACCCTTCATCTAGGAGGACTACTCCATCTCCAAAACAGCCGGACTGGTAATCCTGTCAGTACACCGACTTAATTTCGTCAAGACACTCCCATAGTGATCCAATTTTCCAGTCCCCTCCCCCACTACCCTCCATAAACCCGAGCTCTGGCACATCATCCCACCCTGGTCCTTTTAAAGCTGTGTATTTGGTAGGCCGAACTGTTTCAAAACCTTTTCTTGCAGGTCAGGATTAAGGATCCTCAGCAGATGCACATTTGAAATGGAAAACAGAATCACATCCACTCATTCAACAATTATCACAGAATCGACCACCCAACTAAGGTGTGTGGTGTGTTTTCTTCCAAATTAAATCACAGCGTTAACTCACTCTGGAAGACACACTGTAAAAACACCATCCAATTCAAGGGATCATATTCCCCAGGAGAACGCTATGGAGTAACAAATCCTGATTAATCTCTTAATCGAGGCAGCTCCTAAGAGTTTTACTACCATTCTTTCTCATTTAGTTTGGAAAGAGATCTCTTCTTACTCGGAAAAACCTACCTTCCCCCAGCCCCGGTCAGTCCCTTCCCCAGCACAAATGTCCCAAGCCAGCCACCAAATGCCCCCACCTTGCCAGGTCATGCGCAATCGGGGGAGGAGAGAAGTTTGCTCTCACTACCTACCTTTGCGAATAACAGTCTGATCGTGCAGAAGCAGGTGCTGGTCGTCAACATTCTAGGGAAGAAACGACAAAGTTTCCCTTAAGTTCGGGGGAGCGTGAGGCGGGTGGGGGTAGGAGAAGCTGAGGGGCGAACAGGTCTGGGCAGGAGGGGCAAGAGCCGAGGCGCCTCTCACCTGCACCTCCTCCATCTGGTGGGCCATGTCGTGGAGCCCCAGGTTCTCAGCCAGGCCCGCGGCATCCAGGGCGTGCGCGTGGGGCAAGAGCAGGTCCGAGCGGCGGTAGGCATCCCTGCGGGCGCTCATGGCACCACCCTCCAGCCCGGAGAGGTGGGGTAGCAGGCCGGCCGGGCGCCCGTGGTGCGAGGGCAGGCCAGCCCCCTCCTGGCTCTGGCGGCCCGGCCAGGCCTGCTGCTGGCTGCCGGTGGGCGCTGGCTGGTGCAAGGGGTTGATGGCAGCGGCGTAAGCTTCTCCCAGATGCGAGTAGGGGTCGGCCGACTGCGAGTAGGCCAGCTGCTGGTAGGGCGGTGGAAAGTAGGGTGGTGGCTGGTATTCGGCGACTCCAGTATGGGAGAGGGGCGGCGCGGGGCTGTAGAGGTGCTGCCCGGCGGAGGAGAGGTGGGGGAGGCGCGGGTTCCCATTGCTGCTCGCGTCGTGGCGATCCTGGGAGAGAGAAGTAGAGAGAGACCCCGCTGGTACGAAACCCCGCTACTGCGAACTGGCCGCAGCCACTACGCTGAGGGGCGAGCCCCCAGGGGACCCAACGCACCACCCCGGACCCAACCCGCGGGGCCTGCCCTCCAGCCGGAGGGCACCCGGAGGCAAAGTGCCCCGGGGAATTCGTTGCAAAACCCGAGTCCACGGAGTAAAGAGAGACTTCGAAAAACCTGGAGGAACACGGCCTCAAAGCCCGGCGGCGAAGGCCTGGGCCCTGTGACGCCCGAGGCGCTCTGAAGCGCCAAGTCCGAATCCCAGGCCTTGGGCCAGGAGAAGAAGCCGAGATCCGGGCCCGGCGAGGAAGTCGGCATGCGGCGAGCACGGTGCGCAGTACGCTCGCTCACTAGCCCGCACATGGCGGCGCCCGACCAAAGAACCGGGGGAAGCTGCGAGCGCGGATAAAGCGCACAAAGCGGGAAGTGCGCGTCTTCCCCGCCCCAGGGACCCTCCCCTTCCACGCCCTCAGGACAAAGACCTCCGGGTGAATGACGCTCCCTAGCAGGCCAGCCACCCAGCGCCGCCCGAGGAGCTCGGGAAGGAACGCACCGCAGCGGGGGCTGCCCTGCCTGCTAGCAGCGTCCCGACCAAGAGGGAATAGCAAGTGAGGCCGCCCTGCCCGGCCACGGTCAGTGTCCCCACAAATCGGGGCACAGGGGGAGAATTGAGGACCCCGAATATTGGGCAACCTTGCCTGCGCACGTCCCTCGCCCCAAGGCTATCCTACTGAATTCTTAAAGGACTTGTCTCCCTGGGTTCGAGGGGTCACAGGGGGAGCGGGGAGCCGGGAGAAACATGGCACTGTCGCCCCCTAGTGGAAGTGCCCGGGCCTGCCGACAGGGGCAGCCCCTTGAGGTCCCGCGGGCGCGCAGCCCTCCCGCGGCCCCCCAGGCCCGGCTCCGCTCCGCCAGCGCCATGGCGCACACCGCCCGCCGCCCGCGTCTTCCTCTTCCCGCTCGCCGCCTCCCTCCCTCCCACTCTCCGAAACTCTAGCTCAACCTGTCCGACTGGCTGGAGCACTCCCGAGCGCTTACGGCCCCATCTGGCCTCAGGGCCCCCCCACCAGCACTCCCCAGCCCCCACTTCTCTTAAAAGCCAAACTTCTGTTGTTTTCTTGTTTCCCCGAGGAGTTAGCGGGGCAGGTGACAAGCCCGCCTCGGAGGAGACTCTGCAAAGGTGTCGCCGGCAGGTCGCCTCGTCTGACCCTTTGGACGGAGATACGCTGCGTAAAAGCCACGTCTAAGGGTTGTAGACGAGACGCTCTTCCGAGAAAAAGGGAAGAAGGGCTGGTTTGCTTCGCGAGAGACCGACCGGTAAGCTCTGCGGGTGGGATCTGCCATTCTCTCTCCAGGCCCTGTTCCCGAGGGTGGATGTTTAGGAAAAGGCCCGATTCAGAAGAGAGCCCCGGAGAAATGGACTAGGGGGCGTCCGGAAAAGTGGACCCCGTCCCATCGAGGGGCAGAGGCTGGTGCCTGCTCGCTGCTCCCGCGCCCTCGACCCGACCTGGGTCCAGCGGCCCCCGCCTCCCGGGCTGTCCTCGGGCGGGGCCAGACTGCGCCCCTGCGCCCAGCTCACCTCGCAGTCCTCTTCATACTTGACATTATCGGTTATTTTCCACAACATGGCGTCCGGCGTCCCCCAAAACAGGCGCCAGTTAAATCCAGGCTCCCCCCACCCCCCGAGCGGTAAATCCAAAATGGGGGTCACGGTGGCTAGGCGTCTGCCGCCGCCCCCGCCACGAGAGGGCCTCGCTGTCCCGGTCACTGGACGCGCATCGGCGGCTCTGCGAGCGTAGATGCTGCCGCCGCGCGTGTACAAGCCGCTGCCGGGGACCCGGGAAGCCGCGCCCGCACTGTGTGTCCCGGCAATAGCCGGGGGACCCGGGCGCCTTAATGAGAAGGAAATTATCATAACTCCTCCCTGGGGGCCGGCACCAAGGCCCAGGCGCCGGGCGGGGCAGCCCCCAGCCAGTCCCAGCCTAGCTCCGCCCTGCACCCCGGCGGGGCGCCGCGCCGAGAACCACGCTGCGGGGGGCGCGGAGAGGAGGCGAGTCTGCGGCACCTCTCTGACAGCCGCTGACCTGCTAGGTCGGGGTCCCCCTCGCGCCTTCCATCAGTCATCCCCAACATGCACACACCTTGAGGTTGGCAGAGCTGGGGCCCGGGATCCAAATACCTAAGACCCCCCCCCCTCTTTTTTCCCCAACGCGCCTTACCCCATCCTCCAGAAGACGTTGTCACCTGGACTTAAGAGACCCCGCGTTCGGGTATCTTAACAGCTGGGGTCCCCCTTATCTCCTAAAATGTCCACCCCACGGAGACTTAAGGTTTGGGCTGGGATCTTGCAGCCGGAGCCCCAATCCCTCCGAGAGACGCCTCCCCTTCCCTCCCTCTCCGTGGTCATAGCGCCAGCCCATTCCTCCGAGGGGTTGGAGGAGGGAAGGCCTTCAGGGGAAGTCGGCCCGGAGCGCCCCGGAGCGGGCGGGCCTCCACCAGCCGCGAAGTCTGGACAACGGCGTCTGGCCGCCATCGCCCCAAGCTGCATCTCCGCCGCTGACTGCGGCTGGGGGTCACCCGCGCGCCCTCACCCAGCCCTGCCCAGCCCTGCCCAGCCCTGCCCAGCGCCGGCTCGGCAGCTGCCTCCGACGGGCCAGGCACTCAGAAGCTTCAACTCACCCGGGAAAAGAGGTGCGGGGCCGAATACAACAACCCAAGCGCCACGCGCGGGGGAAGGGAGAAGAGGGAGGGGCCGGAGAGGGACCCCGCGGGAGGGGTGAGTACCCCCGTTCTGAGGACGCAGGCTGAAAACGAAACTTACACAGAAACGCGGCCTCTAGCCCCAATATTTATTTGCCACCCAAACTTGAATGCAATGTGCAATATTAAAAAAATTTTAAAGAAACGAAATCCATTGGCCCAATTACTGTAATTGACCTTTTTCACTGCAAGGGGAAAGTCGCTAATTTTGAAGGGCGAATTTTACTGGGACGTCCCATCTGACTCCTGGATCTGAATTTAAACATTCTGAGAGAATTGGAGAAGGGGACTATTTCGATCTGATTCCGAAACCGATTATGCAGTAATTAATACCCATCGGTGCAGTGCTCCGGGCCTGGAGTGGACGCTACTCCCCATCTACAGAATGATTTGCACACACCACCTTCCTGCTCCTTCTCGGGTTTGTTTGAGCTTTGGCATTTCTTTAGAGCCAGATGGGCCTAAAATAGAATAACTGAAATAAAAATGGGCGTCCTCCAAGTGAAACGTCCTCTCTTGCCTTAGAGTAGACAGACCCGAGGTGATAGTCCTACCAAATGTGAGAACAAAACCTGGAAGTGAAACCACTGGAGGCTTTTCGGGGCTTTGCACTAAAAGTACAAAGGACAGTGCACACACTACCCCGGACACCTCGCTTCCAAAACACCGAGGCCTGGAGTAAAACAACCGAAAAAGCAGCGTTCCTGGTATTCGGGGGTTGGGGGAGGGGTGGGACGGGGGGCACCTGTGCCACGCAGGAATCGGACACGGGCACAGCAGGACGTGGAAGGTTGGGGTCCCAGGCACTCCCGAGAGGGAAGCTGCGCGCCTCCTTCGGGCACTCCAGACTCCCAGAGCGGTGACGCGGAGGCTCTCCTCCACGCCGGGCCTTCTAGACCCGGGTTTGACTCAAAGACCCCGCCTCGGGTGCAACTTGAACAAGTTGTCTCGTCCACGCGGGCAACTTTTCCCCCAGGCAGGTTTGGAACCTGGGCAGGGCAGAAACGGGCCAACCCCCCACCCCAGGCCCCGGCTTTCATTCCTTCCCGCAGCAGCTGTGGCCGAAGCAACCCGTAGGGACAGAGATGCCTCCCAGCCCGGGGACAGAGCCCCTGAGGGACTGCGCGCCTCCGTTCAGGGAGCCCCGGGGACCTAGATGTTTCCGAACCGCTTGGCAAGGGCCATTCATTCCCCAGGCAGCGCCCGGGTCACCGGCGCTGCCCCCTCTCCCAGGGGCATGCGTTCAAGGCAGAGCGCGGCTTCCGCGCCCCGGATGGAAGGCGGCGCAAACAAATCCTCAATCTTCCCGGCCCTGGAGACCCTGCCCAAACACGCGCACCCTCGGCTCGGGGCGGGAACCCCGGCACGCGCGCGCCCGGGTCGGCGTGCTGGAAGCCTCAGTCCTTCCTTGAGCTCTACTTTACTTCTCTCTGCGGAAAGCAGGGAACGAATGGCTCCCGCACCCAGGACGGACCTCCCTCCAAAGCCCCCGCCCCTCGCCGCGGGAAGACCCGGGCCTGCGTGGCCGCGCCCCTGGGCAGCCACCGCTCCCGGAAGGGTGCCCCCTCAGGACCCTCCGAGGCTTCGCAGCCGCTTAACTGCAAACAGAACTAGGGGATCCCGGGGGTGAGCCTCGCAGAACGCCACGCAAAATCGGGGGTATGGGGATAGAGGGTTGTCAGCTACTCCCCTCTGTCGCCCCCTAGGGAGGCTGCGCTCACACACGCTTGAAGCCCGGACCCGAGCCCCCAGCCCGCTCCGATGGCCCAAGAAACCCGAGTCGGGAGACGCGGAGGCGTCTGCGTAGATGCGCAGGCGGGAGGCCGCCGCCGCCGCCGCCTCCAACTTCCCACCCCCGCAAACCAGGGAAGGCGGCGGGGCAGGTAGAGCTGGATTGGGGTTGGCCTGAGACTTTTCCCGCCCCAGGGAGGGGGCGCCTGAGCTGCAGGTGGAGGCCCCAGAGCGCCCTCGAGGACGCCGCGCTGCGCGCAAGGTGTCTGTCCCGCCCCTTGGAGCAGCGTGAGCTCCCGCAGAGACCGCGGTGAAGTGGCCATCCGGGTTAAGCAGAGCCGAAAAGCCGGGGCCTGCAGCAATCGAGGAGCGTGCCCCTTCACGCACCCTACCCTCTATTCCACAACCTCCGTTCGCGGCACCGTCACCCCACTGGACAGACACACTTGGCACCAAAGAGTATCCCCAACTGCCTAAGCCCACTAAAGGGGCACGCCCTGGGGCGCCACATGCATCATTTCACAGCCACTCCAAAATAACAGCAATAATATAAAAATAGCAGGTTGTTTGGATAGTGCGCAAAGCGCCCGCCGCACACACATAGAGGCTTCTTGCTTAACCCAGGGTCCAGCCCAACTCCATTTACTGCTCACTTTTAAGCGCACGGCTGCAGGCCGGGTGCTTGAAGGGAGGGGCTTCGCGGCCTGTAGCCCTTCCTCGAAAAATCTGCTTTTTACAAATGCTCAGAGAGTCGCGGAGCTGAGGGAGCCTGCAGGACCCAAGCTCCGGGGAGGGCCCGGGCCCGTCTCTGTCCCGGGTCTAGTCCGGGCGCTCATTTGAAGAGCGCTCGCCCAGCGCAGAGTTCGTGGGTATAGTCTCTAACTTGACAACCACAACCCCACTTCTCAGCAGGCGAAGGTGAATTTTTGGTCGTCCTACTACCTCAAAACCACAAACATGCCTGCTATTCGAGGCCACCTCCCTAGCGGCTCTCTTGGAGACCTGTTAGAGACAAGCCTGGCTCTCGCCGCCCCCCCCCCCCGCCGCCGCCGCCGCCCCGGGGGACCGCCGCCCTCCAGAGGCCACGCTTGGCTGCAGAGTGCCTGTCACTTCCCCACTATATCCCAGGGCCCACCGGTGCGCAGCCTAACCGCTCCGAGCGCAAGCAGGAGGACCAAGGCTCCAGCCCAGCGTCCCCGGAGGCCTTCTCCGCTCAGCGTCCTGGAACACCATACACCTCCAGGCCAACTAAGCCCGGCGGCCTTAACGCATTTCTCTGATCGCCCCCAGGCGACGAGGAGGCCCACTGGGGCCAGGGGCCGGGCGACGCGGACTCGGCTTCCGGCGCCAGGAGTGGGCAGCGCCCGGGAGCCACCCTGCGCCCCCACGCGCGCCCTCCCCACCCAGCGGGCATCCTCCCGCATGCCTCTCCTCCCTGCCGGTCTGCCCTCCACCCAACACCTCTCTTCTCACCCTTAGGAGCTGGAAATTCATGTCGCCAGCTCTTCAACCTCTGTGAGTTGAGGATTTTAAGAATGGGAGCAACGCTGGAAGAGATCCCCAAGGGCCGAGTCGTGTGCGGATAAGCGCTCCGAGGTTTATTTAATTAACGGAAGGGGGAAGTGCAGGGGGGTGGGGGGGGGCTCAATTCACAGCCAAAACCGGCTATCGCGATTGGAAGACACACCTGAAAGGTCGTCGTTACTCCTCCCCTGCCCTCCTCCCCTTGGAAACTATAAACTCGCCAATTGAAAAGGGTCTTCCCTGGCGTTTTGAATGATCTTTACGCCTGTATGACAAGCAGTACGCACGAGGACGGCTTCCATCACGAAATTCTCTTCAACGTCGTCTACAGCTTGCGGGCAAAGGACATTTTAAATCTATTTGGTCTCCAAAGCTAGATCTATTAACATTTCTGTGAATTCTCAGACGTCATTTCTAGCTCTGATCAGACTTGAGGCACCTCACAGGTTTCCAGGTCCAGCTAAAACTGAACCAAGGCGCAGTGAATTCCCTGGGGGAGAAGGAGGTGGATGGATTTGGGGCGTCTTCCTTAAGTGCCAGAGAAACTTGCCTGCACCTTGGTTATCACCGCTCTTTGCCTTAAGAACAGAGGTGAAGTGCTGTTGTTTACAAAAACAAACAAAACCCCCCAAAGCAAAAAAGCGAAAAACACAACAGCGGAGAGCCCAGTAAAATGCAGTTTTCTTAAGGAAGACTGTCAGCACAGAAATAAATGCCATTTGTTGGCTGTATCTTCAGTTTGAACCTCCTGGGGCCCGCTGAGATCACCCAGACCAGCAGGAGAAGTTGGATATGCTCAGCGATGGTCCCTCCTTCCCTGGGTCCTTGATGGTTTTTACACAGAA